GGTTGTCATTACACGTTATGTCACAATACTTATGCCTATTCTCTCTTATTTTACAAGGTTTACATGAAGAGGGAGAATGCCGGCAGCTGGAATTCTGGGCTGGAAAAGGAGCAAATATTAGAGACCTATTCTGCACAGCGCCAAAAGTCCTGAAACTTCACGGAATTTATTTTTGGAATTAATAAAAAATACTGGCGAAAGAATCCACCAGAGGGGACCCACACCCTGGCCATGAGGGTGGGGGCGCGCCCTACCCCCCTGGGCGCCCCCCTGCCTCGTGGGCCCCCTGGCAGGCCTCCGGTGCCCATCTTCTGCTATATGAAGTCTTTCGTCTGAGGAAAAATCATAAGCAAGCTTTCAGGAAGAAACTCCGCCACCACGAGGCGGAACCTTGGCGGAACCAATCTAGGGCTCCGGCAGAGCTGTTCTGTCGGGGAAACTTCCCTCCAGGAGGGGGAAATCATCACCATCGTCATCACCAACGATCCTCTCATCGGGAGGGGGTCAATCTCCATCAACATCTTCACCAACACCATCTCATCTCAAACCCTAGTTCATCTCTTGTATCCAATCTTTGTATCCAAACCTCAGATTGGTACATGTGGGTTGCGAGTAGTGCTAATTACTCCTTGTAGTTGATGCTAGTTGGTTTACTTGGTGGAAGATCATATGTTCAGATCCATTATGCATATTAATACCCCTCTGATTATGAACATGAATATGCTTTGTGAGTAGTTACATTTGTTCCTCAGGACATGGGAGAAGTCTTGCTATAATTAGTCATGTGAATCTGGTATTCGTTCGATATTTTGATGAGATGTATGTTGTCATCCCTCTAGTGGTGTCATGTGAACATCGACTACATGACACTTCACCATTGTTTGGGCCTAGAGGGAGGCATTGGGAAGTAATAAGTAGATGATGGGTTGCTAGAGTGACAGAAGCTTAAACCCTAGTTTATGCGTTGCTTTGTAAGGGGGTGATTTGGATCTATATGTTTCATGCTATGGTTAGGTTTACCTTAATACTTCTGTTGTAGTTGTGGATGCTTGCAATGTGGGTTAATCATAAGTGGGATGCTTGTACAAGTAAGGACAGTACCCAAACACCGGTACACCCACATATCAAATTATCAAAGTACCGAACGTGAATCATATGAACGTGATGAAAACTAGCTTGACGATAATTCCCATGTGTCCTCGGGAGCACTTTCCTTCATATAAGAGTTTGTCTCGGCTTGTCCTTTGCTACAAAAAGGATTGGGCCATCTTGCTGCACCTTATTTACTTTTATTACTTGCTACTCCTTACAAATTACCTTATCACAAAACTATATGTTACCGATAATTTCAGTGATTGCAAAGAATATATTACTGAAAACTGCTATGATTTCCTTCTGCTCCTCGTTGGGTTCGACACTCTTACTTATCGAAAAGGCTACGGTAGATCCCCTACACTTGTGGGTCATCAATTTGTCACTCCGATTGTCGGTGAGGTATCTCTGGGCCCTCTCGGTAATGCACATCACTATAAACCTTGCAAGCAATGTGACTAATGAGTTAGTTGCGGGATGTTGCATTACGAAATGAGTAAAGAGACTTGCCGGTAACGAGATTGAACTAGGCATTGAGATACCTACGATCGAATTTCGGGCAAGTAACATACCGATGACAAAGGGAACAACGTATGTTGTTATGCGGTTTGATCGATAAATATCTTCGTAGAATATGTAGGAACCAATATGAGCATCCAGGTTCCGCTATTGGTTATTGACCGGAGATGAGTCTCGGTCATGTCTAGATAGTTCTCGAACCCGTAGGGTCCGCATGCTTAACGTTCGGTGACGATCAGTATTATGAGTTTATGTGTTTTGATGTACCGAAGGTAGTTCAGAGTCTCGGATATGATCACGGACATGACGAGGAGTCTCGAAATGGTCGAGACATAAAGATTGATATATTGGAAGGTTATATTCGGACACCTGAAAGGTTCCGGGAGTCACCGGGTAAATACCGGAGTCCCAGGGAGTTACCGGAACCCCCCGGGGGGTCAATGGGCCTTCATGGGCCTTAGTGGAAATAGAGGGAAGCAAGGGAGCTGTGGGGCGCGCCCCCCTAGGCCCAAACCGAATTGGTTTAGGGCTTGGGGGCCGGCCCCCTCTTTCCTTCTCCCCTCCTCCTCTTTCCTTCCCCTCCTAGTTGGACTAGGAAAGGGGGAACCTACTCCTAGTAGGAGTAGGATTCCCCGCTTGGGGCGCTCCCTATGAGGCCGCCGGCCCCTCCCCTTGCTCCTTTATATACGGGGGCAGGAGGCACCCTAGAACACACAAGTTGATTGTTTAGCCGTGTGCGGTGCCCCCCTCCACAGGTTTCCACCTCGGTCATATCATTGTAGTGCTTAGGCGAATCCCTGCGTCGGTAACTTCATCATCACCGTCATCACGTCGTCGTGCTGACGAAGCTCTCCCTCGACACTCAGCTGGATCTAGAGTTTGTGGGACGTCACCGAGCTGAAGTGTGCAGATCGCGGAGGTGCCGTACTTTCGGTGCTAGGATCGGTCGGATCATGAAGACGTACGACTACATCAACTGTGTTGTCATAACGCTTTCACTTACGGTCTACGAGGGTACGTGGACATCACTCTCCCCCTCTCGTTGCTATGCATCATCTAGATAGATCTTGCGTGTGCGTAGGAAAATTTTGAAATTACTGTGTTCCCCAACAACCATGACCCCCCATGACACCATCAATGTATCATTAATCAATGGTGGCGTAATATAGTCAAATACGACAGTTACTGACAGTAGTGGCCACGAACAGTCGGTCATGCCATAGACAATCAATAGCATTTGTTACCAACCCGTTATGATACCCCTCCTAGAGCACTCTATATAAGCCAGGAGGAGGGCATCGGGCAAGGTGGAACTCTCTCATATTGTAACATACACCAAGAGCAAGAACACCACATGCAGGAGTAGGGTGTTACCTCCATCGACGAGCATCTGAACCAGTATAATTCCATGAGCATAGTCCCATCTGCATTGTTTGATAGATACGATTGTCCCTACATTCACACCCTCATTGTATCATCAGGATTATATCCACGACACCAGGCTTTCTGGGGTTATTCTTTCAGCGGTATGACGTGTTCGTTAACTACATGACGTCTATGAAGACTTTGTCATTGTCAAAATCTACCGCCTCGGTCTCTCGGAGTTGCTCATAGGGATAGGGTGAGCCTGCGTTCATAGGGGTGAGTGTGTACGAGTCTGGGTTTGTATTGTGTTTCTCAAAAAGAAACTTGACCTATCACTTTGGATTATGGCACATGCTAGCTTCTTTGCCCGGCGCATGCCGAACAAATATAGACTCGTGCTGATACCTACTTACATCATTTTTGTTGATCCTTTCAGTGCATCTTTTGGTGGAACCTGAAGTCCATGTGTTGCCCATGTGCATGATCATTGTTGCTCCCTGAAGAAGACCCAATCACTAAAGAGGGAATTCAAATTGTCGGCACGCAGCTTCCTAACACGCTAACTTTCAATTTTGTTTCAATATTTCACCAATGTTCTTGGAAAGGGGATAAATAAATCAATCAATTGGAATAAAGGGGGAACTTGGCTACGCTGGGCCACTTTCACCTCTTTGTGGGCCTATGGCCCATTTGCTGCAGTCCCTAACTCTAATTTGAATTTGGGCTTAAATGATCGGCATCTGCTCTCTTTTTTAATGTTCTCTGCTCTTCTTTTTAAGATCTTGATGATCCACACTAATCTAAAAAGAAAAGATCTTGATCCACATTGTATTGTGGCACATGCGATTCTTCGCCCGGCACTTGCAGACCGAAACGTACTTCCATCATTTTGTCGATTTTTCTTTGTTGCATCCTCTGAGGTCCATGCTTGTCATCCGCTGCTCTTTGAAGAACAGAACGATCTCATTGATCTAGCATATGTTTACCATAACACACAAAGCCACTAGCATAATGAGCACATTAGTGTGTGCCATACTCAATCACCTAATCCAAGTCCATATCATCCCCATCATCACCCCCTCCGTTCACTCGATCGCAACCATACCCGGAGGAGGGCATGAAACCGATCACCCGCGGCTTCTTGCCGATGTATCTTGGCAACAACAATCCTCGTCGCTTCATGTTGTTGTTGCCCTTTCCATCTCTTCTTGGAGCAAGATAGTTGGAGATGGAAGTGCGCATGTAGGCGAAGTCCATGCAAGCTTCTCCTTGTCTGGTGAACTTGGCCACTCGCTCCACCGTCTTCTTCCTCATGTCGATCGAAACCACCCACGACTCGTGGTCGTCGTGTGGGCCGGCATTCGTCATCAGGTAGAGAACATCCTTTGGGAGATGCTTTGCCAGAGCGTCCTGCGGCGGCGGAAAGGCAGTAGGCGTGCGGGTCCAGGCGTCGGCGCCGGAGTCGTAGGTACAGACGTCGTATTGCTTGGCTCCGGATCGCCGGTGAGAGCAGAGCGTCGCGATCTTGTAGGCGTCGGCGCGGTAGCGCATGATGCCGACCTCGCCGTGGGGCAGGTGTCCATGGCCCCCGGCCTAATTGAATGATCTCGAGTTCTGAGGCCACGTACTCGGCAGACAATCACACAATGTAGATAGAGTTTAAAATATGGCAACGAACAATGCATTTGCGCTAAGTGAACAATGTGTTTATGCCCATCTCAAGTGGAAGTCAGAAAGAATGGAATGCTCTCGTCTACTCTCATCATCAGTACAAAAATAATAATGCGCCTTCCAATGGCGTCTGGCTGCAGTACAATTGGTGCCGTAATCCTCATGTCCTTGCGTATGAACCTATACTGTATGGGAGGGGAGGCTGGACGAACTGACCGGGCGACAAAATGGTGACTTCAGGGGGAAGCACACACAGAACCGGCTAAATGTAGACCCCTGAATCCAAAACTTCTTCTACGGTGGTCATGCCCATGCTCCCACGTTGATGTTTCTGATGCTACACTGGTTGCTGCCTATGATGAAGATGCAACCTCGATGGCACTTCCGAGTGGCCACGCAGCTTCCACAAACGCGTCGCTGTAAGGAACCTTCTTTACCAATGTCATCTCTTGTTGGGGATCAACACCTGCAAGATGGAAAGCAAAACAAATGAGATAGGTCTTATAATAGATGTACACGATGATGGACATTTTTTACTTAGTACTGAGCCTCTTACCAAATCCATCCACAAGCAGTGTGTACTGGTACACAAGATCCATGCAAATGTATGGAACGTTATCCTTCTGGACACCAGGGTAGCTAGATTGGGCGTCATTCACGTTCAATTTGCAAGCACGCTTGGCAGCTTCCTCAAAGTCTGAGGGTTTGACCTTGGCAACAGCCGCATTGGAGTTAATGAAACCAGCCTGAACAGGAATCATGGAATGCTTAGAAGTGCATAGTGGGAAAGAGTAGCAAACAAGTGAAATTCATCTTCAGAAGGAGGACAGTGCTAGAATCAGAAGTTCCATAACTTACCTCGGCAGCCCTGTCAAAGAAAAACGACGCTACAAAGAGATTCTTCTGGCCAGCACCACCACCACCATTCCAAATGCCACCAAAGGAACATTTCATGTGAGTGCATGCTTCATCTACTTTAAGAGCTTTCACTACATCAGCCCTGCATTCCGAAAAACTACTGCCAGAAGGTGCAGCCGATGCTTCAAATGTATTGCCACCATACTTGTATTGCCCTAAAATCATAAATGCCATTAGAATAGAGTCCTATGATCAGCACAATGAAAACAAGCATATCATGTCATAATATGCTCGTGGTTTGTATTGGCTATGAGTTTTTATGGACATAACACAAAGTAATACAAGTACTTTTAACAGAAAGGATGATAAGCGGCAAAGACTAACAAGCAGAACAAATAAGATAGTTTGTCCTGTAGAGAATGGTAATGTACACAGAACAAATTTGAGGAATTCGTCCTACTGTAAACCTGAGTTTGTTTCACAAGATAGCAAAGCTGACTTCTTTTGGGAACAGACTTCACTGAATGGGCTGGGAACTAACCTATACTTTTAAGATGCAGATGAAAAAGACAATAGCAGAACAGTAAGGCAGAAGAAAGCAGTCATACCCTGATGTCCAGCCAATACACAGTTGCTGTAACCATTGGCATTGCCAGCTTTTAAGATCTCTGCTCTAGCAGCCAGCAATCCGTAGCGCAAATAACTGCAACAAAAGTTCACAGTTATATTCATGATTTAAACTCATGATACCTTCGACGAGAATAATCATGTGATGTCACTTCCATTAGTGATACACCAAAAACTAATTACCCCGCAGAGCACAAGTGGATGCATGACTAAAGTCAGCTCAGACCGATGGCACTATGTTTGTCTACAATGCAGTTGCCTTGAAACAGTGTTAAATAAAGTCGTGCTTTTCTTGAGATTACTCAGCTGTTTTTACTGATGGATTTTTACACATTTAAATTGGGGTTATCATGAAATTTCTCACTCCCATTATGAATTATTCTAGGTCATTAATGTATTGCGGTGACATGACCGTTTCTTACATAATTACACATTTTTCTTCTTTCAGTGGTTTATGACTCATCAATCCAATTAGACATAACAGGATTTGCAGGACAGTACCACCATCAGGTGCTTAAATAGGTTTTGATAATTGTTACTTCATGTTATGCTTAGAAACATCAGCAGAGGGTTCACAAATTACGAGGACAATAATTCGGCTAAACAGGAGGAACAGCAAAAAGCTAACAGAAGTTAAAATATCAACCTGTGGACATAAAGATGATACGTTGTCCCTTTAAGGAAAAGCTTCTTCACGTATGATTCTTCACCATCTGCTGGTTTAGGAGCCTTTTCAGCATCCTTCTCTGGGATAGCATACGCCATTTGGACAGATCCACCGCCAAGGTCAACCACACCAACTGTGTCTGCGTACGTCTTTCCCAGATTTCCCAACAGATAATTAATGGTAACCTGTAAGCATATAGAAGAGTGAATGGGAGATATATGGTATATGTCCCTGCACTAGGAAGGTAAACAAAGCAGCAAAGCTTATGAATAATTCCTAAACACTCTGCTTAGCACACGATCTGACCTCTACTAGGCCTGTTTGGTGGTTACCTTGAACTCTACTTACATACAGTTTTACATATCTATATCTACACCACTATATAGTGTGGGAATAACATTGAATATTGGCTGTTGGATGAAGCCAATCCAACGGTGGAAAGTTGGCAGGCCCGAGCATTGTTGGCCATTGGATATCTTATTCACTACACACGATTTTGCCATGCATGCGTACTATCTAGAATATTCCATTACTAAGCTTAAGCACAATGCACCCTATGCACAAACCTCAAAGCACTATGTTTCTCCTTTGCTCTAGAATCTTCCATACTTTAACACTGCCAACTTTTTTCTTCTAAATGAATTGCTATTGCTTTTTACTTTATGAATATCAATGTATAATGTGCACAAACCTTATCACTTCAGTAAAGAAAGCACACAAAAAACTCCATGGCTACAGTACCATAGCAATGTAAGATGGCTCTGAAAGAATTGACATTCGCTTTTGCTTTATTTACTTCTTGTACAAGGCTATGACAGTATCTTCATAAAATGATTTATATTTTTTTCAGTGCCATAAACTACAAGAATTAAATCTACATCTCATACATGATGCATATGTGACTATAAATTTATATAGTTGCTTGTGTTATGTGATATGCCAATATGCAATCATACTTTGGTTATGTAAGTTCTCACGTGCAATGCACGTGTACCTTACTAGTAAACCATCAAATATCAGTTCATAACTTAGGAAAATGGCATGTAGTCTTCTAAAAAATGAAATACATGCAGTGATAATATTTTTTTAATCAAGAGCCTTAGAATAACATGAAACGCAACCATATGTGATAAGTAAGGCCAGCATCCTACCCATTCATATGCACCTTCCTGAGTTCCATCAAGAACTGTGACCCAATCCGGCTGGTTCTTGAATGAACTCTTTTCACGAAGAAGATCCCTAACCTGCATTTTTGTGGATACATTAACATCCAGGTACACAATCAATCATGGCAAATTGGTAATAACATAACAAAAACCTCACTCAAACATAAAGAAAAAAAAAGCATAATAACCCGCAATGCAGACAATAATGATGATGATGATGATATGATAGAAGACCATTTACCGCTTGCAAAATCTCTTCGGATTTTCCTGCTCCCAAAGCTCTTAGCCCTGCTGTTGCCTGTGAACGAACAAGGAAGGTAAGAACATCAACAAGCACCGATTACAAAATCAATTAGTGTGAGCGAACCACTCACCCCAACTCTAACAGGCGTCTGGTCGCGCAATTCGGCCGGAACAACTTCCTTGGCCTTCTCAATGAGGGAGACGAGCGATTGAGCAGCCTCGCGCGGGTCCTGGGCGTACGCGCTAAGTCCAGGCTTTTTCTGCAAGGGCGGAGGAAGGGGAACGGAATTCAGCTGACAATGACCTAAACCAGATCCAGATCCGACGGACGAAGGGGTGGTCGTCTTACCTGGACGAAGAGCTCGATGTCGGTGCCAATGTGGACCAGATCCAGGTTGCCATCGAAGCAGAAGACGTGGACGCGGCTGCCGGAGCTGCCGGCGTCGAATATGACGGCGTACTTCTTACCCCCGGCGGCCCCGGCCCCTCCTCCCAGGGGCCTCTGGGCGGCCCCGGCGGGCGCGCGCGGCATGAGCAGGAGCACGAGCGAGACGAGGGCGAGCGGCGCGAGCACTACGAGCAGCACCCCGCGGTAGCGGTGCACGCGGTCGGCGAGCGTGTCCTGGCGGCCGGCGCCCGGCAGCTGCGAGTAGCGGCGCATCTTGTCGGCGGGCAGGAGGAGGAGGTCGGGCGAGGAGGGCGTGCGGTAGCGGATGCGGCCCCCGGGGCCGGGGGGCGACGGCTGCTTGACCGCCTCTAGATCCTCCGCGGGATCCAGCGCTCCCGTCCGTCCGCTCCGCTCCGCGCGCGTCGGCGTGGGGTAGGCGAGGCGAGGGATGGAGGGCCGATCTGCGCGAGCCTCGGGGGTGGAGTTTTAGGCGGGCGGGCGTGCGTCGGTGGGTTTGACTTCGGGCGGGGTGGCGTCGGGATCCGGGCGCGCGCTGGGGAAATGCGTGCGCCTCGGGACGTGGCGCGGTGGTCTCTGGCTGCTGTGCTGCCGCCGGGCGCGCGCGCGACGGAGGCGGGAGGGAGGTGGCGGTGGCGTGCGGAAAGGACGGCGCTTTGTAGCGGCCGCGGCGGGGGAGGGGGTGAGGGTTGCTTGTGCGGGTTCGCCGTGCCCGTGCCCGTGCCGGTGCGGTTGGGTCGGGGTTGGCTTCGTCCGCGCGCGTGTGCGGAGTTGGCCGGACGGCACCGGAGCTGCGGTGCTCGGTAATTTCTCACGGTGCTGGTCCACGGCTGCGCCGGACCGTGATTGGTTGGTGCAGGTAATTGACCGTGTACGCGCCAACCAGAGAGCGTGTTGACGTGGTGATGGATTCAGCGATCCAGTTAAACTTTTTTTTGGAAAAAACTTTCGATGGATTCACCCATAGTCACGGCAGTACAAACAATAAAATAAAAGTAACAAGTCCATAGACCATTACCGACGAATATAAGCACTGAAGCTAGTCAAATGAGTGCTGCCGTCGTCACCCCTTATCGATGCCGGACAAATCTTGTTGTGGCAACAGTGAGGACGTCATCATGTTAAGACCTCCCGGGACCAGCGCAACAGAGCAACCATCATCGATGAAGAGAAGCTCAGAAATATATAGCCTGTAGACACATGGATGCAGATGAACGAGGACCAAATCCAAGTAGGTTCACTGAAGACAAAAGCCGACTGAATCTTCGAAGATCAACTAGAGACACACCTCCAAATGCCCTCCGATGATGCTAGAAGTATCACCGGGATGGGCTAGGCAAGGAGAACCTCATTTCATCTTCAAGAAGCCGCTGACACCTCGTCTTTCTAAGTAGGACACAAAACCTAAACCGAGACAAAGAGACACCTAAAACGGAGCAGGACCCATCCCACTGGCAAGGGTCGAGGTCCACTGCACCTCCATTGCATAAAGGCCACAAAAACTGAGACAAATTGTGGCAACAACGACATGATTTAGGAATCTCTGATCATCCGAGTAGAAGCACATGCAAAGGGATACGCTACCAGACGCGTGCTTTAGTAGCAATCCATTTTATCCTTAGAGAAGCCCACTCAGTGCACACAATTTTTTCTCAATTCTTTTACTAGAGTGACCTGCAACTTTTTTACTTGAATTGGAAAAACACAACAAACACGATGTTTTGGATCATAAACAAAAACATTACTCTCTCATGTACATATTAATTGTCATTGATTTAGTACAATGGAAAACAAAACAATTCCCATAACGATGAAACTTTTCAAAGGCATCTTTCTATACCTATTAATAAAGGAAGGACTATTTTATTCCCAGCTACTACGTGTTTTACAGAAAATCCCTTGATCTTTCTGATATTCAACCCGCAATTCGGACTTAAATCAGATTTTTTTTGCTTTTGCGGAAAAATCCCTTATGTTTTTCTAATCAAATCGCGGTTCAGTTCTAAGTCAGATTTTTGCTTTTGTAGTAAACCCCATGATATTTAGGATAATCAACTCACGGTCCATATCAAATTCTTTAAAAAAATCCATATCTTTAAAACCGTAACTCCAAATTTAACATGTATATGTAATTTGATTAAAAATATATATAATCTAAATATGATGTTATTTTATCTATTAAGAATTTTTTAAATGATATTTAGGGTGCTAGTCTAATCAATATCGCATGATCCACCTTTCTTTCGTACCGGTGCCGATCCAGACTAAAAATGAATGCCTCAGCAAAACCAAATTGGAGACGAAAGAAACTATCTATAACGACACATGCACGCCTCGTCAAAACCTCGCGGGAAAAAGAGCAGATTTCTCATCTTATGCCGAGAGAGAGAGAGAGAGAGAGAGAGAGAGAGAGAGATGCCTTAGGATTGACCATATTCAAACACATTTATGATTGTGTGAGCACTGAGGCCACCGTCAGTGAGTGTGGAAAAGAGAATAAATGGCAACATAGATAGATGGCATGTGTGGAAATAAAGGACATAGACCTATTGGGGTATTGAATCATGGTTATTGGGTTAAAGGCGTGCGATTTTTCTTCTTCTGTTGCAACACACAGACTCTTTTGCTAGTCATATTTATAATGTAGGAAGTGATTTAATTTATTTTGATTGATATAGTGCAAAATATTTGATTTGATTAGGTTTCCTATATCCGACCTATATCTAGAATGTCCGCATTTGATTTGATGGAGTTAATGCAAAATATTTGATTTGATTTGATTGCCCGTATCCAATCTATATCTAGAATGTTCGCATTTGATTTGATTGAGTTAATGCAATTACATTACACCCATGGTGTTGCAAAAAATTTGTTTTGATTTGATTGAGTTAATGCACGACATGGGAGGAAAGGCTTGACTAATGAACGTACGGCCACCAACTCCCCCTTTAATACTAGAGATTGTCCTTATATAATGAAAAGACAATAAACGTAATGGTAACGCGAAGCGGAACAAGAAAGAAAAACACAGGCAAAGGAACCATGCAATTAAAGCATTTTTGGATATTTTTCGATGTGATAAATATAGGAATTTCTTTAAATCTAAACAATTGGTATGCAATCACGAGCCCTTATCGTATTTGCAACCGTCCAGGTTCATTATCTAATGCATGCAACACCAAAGATCTATAAAAGGCCAGGGGGTGCGACAATGGAAGCAACCAATCACCTACAACACCAGTTCAGACCTCCCCACCAGGAGGGGTATTCTCTGTCGGCATGGCACTAAAACCATGGGCTCCCATAGGTTTGTTGATGATTACGCTGACGTTGATCTTCGTCAGTCTCCCGTTGCCAGTGGACTCAAAATCATGTGTTGAAATGATAGGCAACCAATTGGTGACCACCATGAGGGACAAATGCTTGCTTGCTTTCAATCCACCAACAAAACCTGGTTCAAATCCCGTTGCGGAGAAAGAGTGCTGCCAGGCGGTAGGCAAAGGTCTTGAGCGGTCCAGGGGAAACATGTGCCTTTGTAACTACATGAAGTTAAATCCTGGCCTCGGTGGGCCTCCTGTCTTGGGTGGGCCTACTATGGCTGAATTGTGCAAGCTTAGCGAAAGGACCAAACAAATCTGTGGAAGCTAATTCACTTTAAAAAAATCCGTGGAAACTAATAAGAAGGAAAAACAATGAAGGGGAGCCGAGATGCTGTAGTGTCCTACTCATATTATTATGCTCCAGTAGTAGTTGTTGTTCCGTTATTTTGATGGTTTCATGCATATGTGTTTGTACCCCCAAAAAATGTATGTGTGTTTATGTTTGCAATAATATATAAAGGGACTCCCATATGGCTACATTTGATAAATTTCCCCTATTGCTTTTTTCTTGTTCCATTATTTTCACGCCCAATGCGACGTGTATAACATAATTCTGCTTCCATGGTTTACGTCCCAAGATCTCAATTAGTGGCGCCAAAGAACCTAGAGCTGCCGCTAGCTTCCGGATGCGGTGCAAGCGAATGGGGCATGCTAGGGGTTGAGGGTGCGGTGGTGCTTCTCTGGTATCTTTGGTCATGCGCGTGACAGAGTGGGGGAGGTGGTGGCGGTCAATGGAACGGGTGGTGCTTTGAAGTGGCCACAACGGGGGAAGAGGAGGTGGGGGCTGCTTGCGGGTTCGTTGTGCATGTGCCAGTGAGGTTGGGTTTGTTTTTTCCACGTGCGCGTGCGAAGTTGGCCGAATGCCACCGAAGCTGTTGTGCTTGGTAAATACGGAGTGGAGTTTGTTTTAAACCCTGGGATTGTAAAGTTTGATATAAATGAACCCCGCCGTCCAAATACCTAAAATTGATACACTGGCCTCACTGATCCCAGTCAATCCTAACCTTATAGAGAGGTAAAATCTTGTTTGTTACATCAAGGGAAATAACAATCCCAGCTAGGATCAATCTCAAATCTCGAATGTGTGGGTAGATGTATACAATCATCTTATTCCCCGATGTATCTCTCACACAAATTCACTCCCATGCCTGGTCCACTTTCCTATCTTATTGTCACCGTGATGGCAGGATCATCGTTCTCCTCTATGCGCCTGCTCCTAGAATGGCAGTGGCCACCATCATGTTGCCCCACAATCTAGAGTTGGCATTCGCGTGCCATGTGGTCATTGCTATGGCGTCTGCTGACGACCTGTAAGTCGATATGTCTCAAACATATCTAATTTTCCAAACTCTTTTTCCATTGCTTTGGTCTCCAATTTGTTTCCGAATGACACTAACCCGGATTACCGTTGTTTTCAACAAAATTACCATATGTTGTTTTTGTGCAAAAAATAAAAGTACTTAATGCGGGACAGAGATTTTTTTAGAATTATTTTAAAATACTTTAGGAATTATGGAGCGAAGATGGACTGAAGGGGGGCCACCAGGCCCTTGCATGCCCAGGTAGCTGATGACCCACAAGTATAGGGGATCTATCGTAGTCCTTTCGATAAGTAAGAGTGTGAACCCAATGAGGAGCAGAAGGAAATGACAAGCGGTTCTCAGCAAGGTATTCTCTGCAAGCACTGACATTATCGGTAACGGATAGTTTTGTGATAAGGTAAATCGTAATAGGTAACAAGTAAATAAAGTAAACAAGGTGCAGCAAGGTGGCCCAATCCTTTTTGTAGCAAAGGACAAGCCTGGACGAACTCTTATATAAAGCAAAGCGCTTCCGAGGACACATGGGAATTGTTGTCAAGTTAGTTTTCATCAT